CTTGAGACGCTCCAACAGAAGATTGGTCAACAGGAATGAACCGATATGATTGACACCGAGGATCATCCCGATGCCATCTTCAGTGCGTCCTGGAGCGGCCAGTGCTTAACACCACAACAAACAGGTATCAGTCAAAATTTGGAATTAGATTTTTCAATGTTTTTGAAAGAAGTCTCTTATGCTCAAAAATACAGTAAAAACGGTAATATTATTACAAATGAAAATAACTGTTTTCTGTTGTAATATATTGCAAAATGTAATTAATTCCTGTGATGCAAAGCTGAATTTTCAGCAGCTTTTCTCGGCATACTGTTGTGGAAACTTTCAGGGTAAGATTGAAAGTATTTTTTTTAATTGTAAAAATATTTCACAATATTACAGCTTTACTGTATTTTTGATCAAATATTTTAGGTAGTTTACATATGTTGAGGTTTGAACTTTATAGGTTTAGGAGCTGGTTAGGTTTGCTTTTTTTTAGTTTTACCAGCATTATTGATGAGCAGGTCCAGTCTGGGCTCGGCTTTCAGGAAGGTTTCAGCAAAAGATCGGATGGATTTGTGACTTGCAAGATCCAGTTGCATGAAGATCACAGCATCATTCCCAGTTTCCTAAGGAAAATATCAGAATGTTCTATCAGTTACAATGTATACAATAGATAAATTATGAAGTTATAGCTTAATAATTAATGAACTGGGACAAATAATTTGTATTTATTTTTATTTTTTTTGGTAGTCGAGACTTTGTCAGTATACTAACACACAGACCTCTAGAAATATTCACTGTGACAACTAGCCCCGGTCTTCCCAGACCAGAGTTAAATCAGAGCTTTCACTCACCATCCTGATTTCTTGTGCTGCTGCTTCTCCTCTCTGTTTGCTGCGGCAGGCCAGAATCACTCGGGCTCCTCTCGTGGCCAGCTCTGCGGAAGTCGCCTTCCCAATGCCAGTGTTGCCACCTGTCAGACACAACAGATGGAATATGTATTCTTTGTTGCTCCAGCATAGACAGGCACAGAGTCATAGCTTCATGTTAAGTATTTGTTCTTGCTGAACTCTATTTAGAACA